TCTTGGGAAACTTTACAAACATATAAGTTCAGGAGTCACAGTACTTTTCTTAGCAATATTAGAAGCTGAAAAGTCATGGGACAGTGTCTTTACAATTTGAACAACCAAAAAAAAATTCAAAATAGAAATCTACACACAGCCTGAATTCTATATGGAGCAAATTAATAATTAAGTATTCAATTTAAATAATTTCTGGTACTTGATTCTGAAGAAATTTACTACCACATACCACTTGTCAATAAGGTACACAAGGAAAAAGTTCACATAAAATTAGAAAGGAAACTAAGAAGGGCAAAACCAAGAGATCCAGTGAACTGGGGACCTAAGCACAAAAGAAATACAGACAGGAAATTCTAGGACTTGGACCAAGGAAATTTCAGCATAAGAGCTCTGCAGCACATCTTGATTCTGTAGTATGAGACCTTTCAAGGAAAGATAACTTTAAAAGAAGAGAAAGTTGTTAAAAAACGTGATGTTTCAAAAGTATGATGACAAATTTATATAAATGAAGGGAAGTTGTTGAAAGTGACTGAATGATAAGTCAAAAACTAAGTAAACATAGACATAAGACAAACGTTAACTGAAGTGACTAAAGAAGCAAGCAAAATTGTGTGAGACAGGAAAGAAAAATTAGTACATAGCGTAACTCAATTCTATGAACGTTTTCTTAAGAGTATTAACATAAACAATGAACAGTGTTCTATTCAAACTTCAGGCTAATGAAAGAACAGGAAGTAACATGAGCTTATTAACATATGTAGATTTACCATAAGGCTAGTAAAGTTTTACTGTTACGACCTCTAATTTTGCATAGGACCTTAGTCACATGTTTATACAGTAACATGGTTTCTTTGTAGAATTTGCAAAATAAAATATTCTAATTATAATTTATAAATGATATAGCTTTTTTTTTTTAACATTTCAATTCCCATTGATCTTATTTTTCCTCCAGTTACATAGTTTTAAAATGGCCATGGACATTTTCAGGATATGACTAAGAAGAAATTGGGTTGGTAACACATTTAGTTTGGATAGAACGAGATATCTTTTTATAATTCTCATAATTTCTGGCTATTGATAAGTCATAGATAGCTATTTAGGTGCAAAAATAATGGCGTCTAGAATACTCCTACCATCTATCTTAGTTGCAGTGTTACATGGATAAAGGCCAGAGTCATACTGTGGTATGAAAGTGTCATATGGAACTTAGCACTGGAAGAATGTATATGGTATAGGAAAAACATATTTAAGTTTTTCTCAATACAATGTATAACAAAAAATTCTTTCAAATCTTATATCTAATGTTTGGAAGAAATTTCATGGAGTTTTACTACAGTTTGGTAATAATATTAAATTTTACATAATACTTTATTGTGATACTGAAATAAACATTTTTAAATTAAAAATTACTTTAAAAACAGACTAATTTGGTTTATAGTAAAAACTATTAACTACGAGCAGGTGCTACCTTTTGGGATATTTATTTGAAATTTTAATACTTTGGTACTCAATTGTCAATGTTCCATGGTGTATATTTTTACTTTTGGGATTAGTGGGGGCCTAAAGGGAGGGGAATAGTCTATAATTACTCTCTCTTAACCTAAAACAATTATTTTGTTCCTGGAGCAAGTTAAATCTTTGTTAGAAGGAGCTTTGGCCATATATTTTTTAGCATGCATTGTTTCTGTGCTCTGAAAGTACTAATTTTAAACAGATTCAGGAAAACAGACCAATAGAACAGGCCATCTCTAGGAAATTGGCTCTGTTTGGTTCCTGACCTTCCCTTTCTCCCATGCTAGCAAGGCATACACATGTTGCCTTTTTTTTTTTTTTTTTTTTTTGCCATGTTAATCTTTTCTTGGTCATATATAAGCAATAAAGCTGTTTTTTGTTCTTCATCTTTCTCAACCCCAAATTTTTATGACTTAGGCTCTGATGGTTCTTCCAACCCCCTTAATATGGCTTAGGGTGGCTTTTCAAAACCTGCAATCCCCCATTTGCACTACTGGCCATGATACATTTATTTCTAATGTTCCTGCCAATCAGAGATCTCTATATTCTAAAATGGGATTAAAAAATAGTTGGAGAATTCACATTTATTGAGTAAGTGATGTGATACTGCCTGGACTTTTGAATTCCAAATAAATAAATTTCACTCTTTGAAAAACGGGAACAAGAGCAAAGGCCCAGACTAATGTGGGGTGGTTGGAAGCTCAGATACGGAGCTGATGGTTCCTGATCTTAGAGATTGTGTCTTTGGAAGAAAATAAATTCAAAACCCAGAAAGTCAACAATGGAGACATTTCAGTCCAGTAAAAGCCAACAGGCTGACACCGAATAAAGTTTCATTAGAGGTAGTTATTATTTTCTGCTCTATTCGGAGAGGCTTATTACAAACATAAAAGCTGTACATTAACATTTCTGTCGCCTTTCATAACCCTATAACTTTTCATAACCTCAGGTCTCAAAATGAATTATTTTGCAGACAGTCTCCATCTATGAAGAAGGAATGGTGTGCCAAGGCTTTTACGATATAGATTCCAAGTAAAATGTGTTTTTATGTGAATGGGGCACTTTTTAATATTAATTAAATTTTCTAATATATGTCATTTTTGCTAATTAGCTATTATTAGGGCCATATTTCATTTTTTGAAATAAAGATAAGTTCAAGGACAAAGAGAGTTTCTTATTCATCTTTGTGCTCCCTAATGGCCATTTCATTGTATGACACATTATAAAGGATCAATATAATATAATTAAAGGAAGCCATCCTGTTACTTTTTACAAAAATGGCAACAAATAAAGAGCAAAAACAAAAACACTCTCAGACGTAACACAGAATCATGTACTAATGATAATACAGACACTAGTGATGATGTTCACAAGAGTAATTAATTATCATCTTTTAGATGCTTTAGGTTATATAAGTTCTGAAAACGAATCCAACAGAGAGATGAACAGAGCCCATGTTTGATACCCTGAATTCAGCTCTTCTTGAAGCAGATATATTCTTGTACAATTTTACATACTTGTTTCTCTCTCTCTCTCTCTCTGTGTGTGTGTGTGTCTTTGTCTGTCTCTCTCTCTCTCTGTCTCCTCTCTTATGAACGTTGAATTGTATATCAAAATCTATGACTTGAAAGCAAAATAAATAAGCACTGGTTGCTACAAAATTCCAAATAGGTAAGAGCAACCAATTAGTGATTTTATAAGTAATATGTTGGGTTTATAGATACAGAGATTGTTACTTTTTCTGTTTTTGAAGGGTTTTTAAAATTTAATTTTTATTTTACTTTAAGTTCTGGGATACATGTGTAGAATGTGCAGGTTTGTTGCATAGGTATGCGTGTGCCATGGTAGTTTACTGCACCCCAGAGATTGTTACTTTAAAAAGATGTTGAAAATAATGAAGAACAAAGATATTAATTCTTATATAGTATCCCAACATTCAACATGACTTTTTAAATCATTTTTTAATATTAAGGTTGTTGTGTTGCTAATTTACATTCAATGTATCTTCTATTAAAAATGACCTCTAAAGTTTAAAAAAAAATCTATATTTGTTTTGTTTAATTCACAACCAGAAGATGATGTTAAGTCCTGAAGAACTGACATTTTGGTAAGAATATTTGTTCTTAGAATGGAAAAAAAATGTGCCTGTTGCTGTGACAACTTCAAGGTAGGCCTCAACCTAATGGCTCTCTAGTCCTTCCCAAATTTACTTCCAATTAAAATCACAAATGAAACTCAAAAAATAGAGAGAAACCCAAAACAGTATTTGAAATTAGGGAGAGTTTGCTCACTATATGAGAAACACCAAGAAATTATTGTAATTATTTGTTATGTAGGGTATAAAGGAACATTCAAACAATAACAAATCAGTGACTCACTCTCTATCCGGAAAGCATGTGAGATCAGATCCCGGCAGAGTGCCATTTGTATTTAATAAGATGAACCATGGGCAAATGGGAGTGAGTTTTCAACCTTGGCAATACCACTAGGGAAGCATTCTTCTTTCTTTTAGCCAAAATAAGAAAAGTGCATTTGGCAAGGTTTATTCTTGGCTTAGACTCGGAGTGTGCTTAGAACAGAAGGCTCTGCCAGGCAAAATCAGGGGATATGCTGTGGTTGGCTCTTAAGGAAGTCATCTATTCCAGGCAATCACCAGGCACCCTGAGGAGGCCAAATCCTGGCTGCCACACCAGGCACTGAAAAGACACACTTAGACAGAAGGCAAAACTCCCTGCTGTGACTGACTCTATTTCTATTTTCAGCTCCTCCCTTCCCTGTTTGCCCAGATTATCACAACATCTCTTTTGTGGTGTGGTTAAAATCTATAAAGTATATGTAAAAATTTATTTTCTCGCCTCTATTTTCTCACAGATTTGGACTAAAACCCATAACAATCTCTAACAAAACCAACTTCATTTTGGATTTGCTATCAACCCTTATCAGGAAAGCATAGTCATTCTTTGAGTGTGAGCTAAGACAAATATTTTCCTCAGTATGAATAAATAGTATTGTTCTAAGAAAAAGGAGTACATTTTAGAAAAATTTAAACATATTTTTTAAGAAATGGAAGGGATTGTTCTGTTTGTTTGTTTTTGACAAAGCCATAAAGAAACTAAAGTGATAAAGTATAAAATAAATTCAGGAAATTCCCTGACCCTGGAAGTCAGATAATGTTAGTGAATATATGAAAATGATAAGAAAAAAAAAGGCATGTGATAGATAGACTGAGATCATTCTATTCACATATCACAGTATCCCCTAAGTAAGGGTGCTGGGAAAGAGGGAATACAAAATATTCAAATATGATACAATGATATTCTTCATTATGAAAAACTAAATGACAAAATTTTAGACTCCTTACATGAACGTATCTACAACTTTATTTAACATTTTCTACATATTAACATTTATATCCTAATATATTCCATATAGAAACTATAAATCAATTAAGGAATAAAACTTAGATACATACAAATACCTTTCTTCACATTAAATGCCAGTGAACACTCATATGACAATGTAGTTTTACTTACAAAAATTACAAACTCAGAGTATCATATTCATCCAGTTGGTCCTTCAAGTTAGTACAGAGCCACTTATAGGCATAATCCAGCTAATGTGGATAAAAATAAGATAAATAAAGCATGTGAAGCTCATTATAATCATTATTTAAAAGATACATTTTGAGTATTAGGTATTACATGGAAAACTATTTTGGTCAATTAATTTTTTTAATTTAGCAAATTAAGGAAACTATTAATATAGATATATGTATTGAGGTATAAAATTTTACTGACATGTGATGCTAATTTGTTCATTTTACATTTATGACAATTCATATAAGTTAACATGAAGATAACTATATAAGTTATACTAGATGTTTGTAAAAACAAAAATTAGTATTAAAAATAAACATAGGCTATATGCCTTTCAAAGTGTGAAAGAGAGAGAAGAAAGGATCATATTCAGCTTATCTACTGGTACTTAACAAAATAAATGATGTAAATCAACAATTTATTACTATTTTCCACAATTATTATTTATTCTTCTTTGCCACCATTGTGTGAGCCTGAAAGCCTGCACAAGGATGGCTCACCCATGATGTCTGTCTGTGGTCACAGATGGGAAGTCTTAAATGTCTGGGAGCTTGAACAGCTGGTATCTGACCATGCATTCCTCCTCCTCTCTCTGTTTCAAGGCTTCTTCCCCTTTTTCCCTTAGACTATAAATACCTTGGCTTCCTCAGGGTGTTCAGACTTCTCATGTGGCAGCTCTAGGCTGTGAGAACTAGGCAGTGGGAATTACTAATCTTCATAAAGGCTATGCCAAGAAAGACATCGCTTCACCACATTCTAGTGGTTACAGCATTCAGCAAGACTCTGTCCCTCTCTGAATGCAAGGACTGTTATCTCTGCTATTTAAACTGACACAAGCCTCAACAGAATTAAGACCTAATACTGGAGGGGCTGATACTTTATTTTAATGCCTCTGTTTACTCATCTGTAAAACAGAGTTATTAATACATCTTATGTAATAGAATTGTTACGAAGATTAAAAGTTTATGGAATATAGTAAAAGTTTAAAAATTTTGGGTATAATTTTAAAAGTATTAGAATTTTAATTTTACATTTTACTGACAATTCAGTTAAGCTACATTATTTTTCTTTCCTCTGAATCTTTTCCTGAACATGCTCTCTCTTTCTCTCTTTTTCTGTCTCAGTCTTTCTCTCTCTTAACACACACCACACACCCACATCCATAAAAATTTCTCAGTTTTGATCATAGTCTATGACACACACACACACACACACACACACACACACACACACATCAGCCTTTTCTAGAGCAAAATAATATAATAGATAATTATCAGTTAAAATAATGCAAAGAAAAATTAAAATTGCATTTCAATTAATACAATCACATTAGCAGATTATAGAATAGCTTAAGCTATTTTGGAATTTATAAATAAGTTAAATAAATCTTAACTCTAGAAAAAAGAGGTAATTAAACTTCAGTAAAAGATGCTTTGAAAGTAAATGTACATTTAGACCTACTCTTGAAAACATATTAGGAAAAGTAAAAGCTCTGTGGGCAGCAAATGTGTCACATTAAATCCTATTGTTGTCAAGAAAGAAAGAGAAAAGTAATTAAAATTTCAGCTTATTAAGATATAAAACAAACAGCAATACTAATATTGAAGAATATTGAGATAAATTCGTGTTCCATGATTTAAAAAATGGCAGGAATAACAAATACAGAAGCGGGTCTATTTATTTTAATAGGCATGCTTTTTAAAGGCTATTGGAAAATCTAACAAAAGGAATAATAAATAACATTATAAATGTGACTGAATATAATCTGAGATAAAGAATGCAAAATTTTAAGCAAATAATTTTAGTGTGATACACTATCAAATTTGAAAACACAATGAAATAGTTTTTTTTGTTCTAGAAAAAAGTGAAATTTCAGCATTATTTTGTTTAAGTTTTGAGTAAAATGTAATTGAAAAAAAAATCTGCCTAAAAATAGAAATATAATAAAGAAGTTTCAAAAAGTATTTAAATTCCAGCCAATTTTACATCTGAGTTCCAAGAACAGATAATTCTATATTTTAAACAATATCAGAACACATAATATGATGGAAGATCTTTTGATTGTCTTACAAATCTGCGAAAAGATGAAATTTAAGCCCTAACATTTTAGAAAACAAATTCTTACAGTATAGTACAAACATAAAAGTAAAAATTAGAAAATTAAAATAAAGACTGTGTTATAGTAATATTCAATAATATTACACAACATTAAAGGAAATGTAAAAATGCTAAAACGTCTTAAGAATTTTTTTGTTTTTGAGACAGTTTCCCTCTTGTTACCCAGGCTGGAGTGCAATGGCACAATCTTGGCTCACCGCGACCTCCGCCTTCTGGGTTCAGGTAATTCTCCTGCCTCAGCCTCCTGAATAGCTGGGATTACAGGCACGCGCCACCATGCCCAGCTAATTTTTTGTATCTTTAGTAGAGACGGGGTTTCACCATGTTGACCAGGATGGTCTAGATCTGTTGACCTCGTGATCCACCCACCTCGGCCTCCCAAAGTGCTGGGATTACAGGCTTGAGCCACCGCGCCCAGCCATCTTAAGAATTTGTTACTGATATTTATAATTTCTCCAGATGTGAAGAACATAAACATTATTATTAAATTAGTTTACCAAAAAGGGCTTGTACATACAGTAGCTTTACTTTCTGTATCATTTGTCTCTATCAATCATTAGCAGAAATTTACTGAAGATGGTCCAAAACTACTTTGTGGATCTAATAAGAGAACTTTATTATGTGTTGCATTTGCAAATGATTCTTCCAGTTGGCTTATAGGTGAAGAGTTCTGTCTGCTAGTGAATTCTCCATTGAAAACACATTCTTCATTAATAGCAAAGCTTTTAATTTCCAGGAGTTGGTAGCAAAAAAAAAAAAAAAGTATATATATATATATATATATATATATATATATATATAGTGTCTGAACAATATTTCTACCAGTTTCATTTGTATGCATTTTATCATTTGCATTAAAATGATGTATTTGTGAAATGCAAAGTAATTCTAATAATTGGCACAGTTCCATATGAAATAATTATACAAGCCAGATTGAATGTGAAATAATACATAACCTGGAAATACTGACCCCTACAAGATAAAGGCAATTGATTCCTGTGGGGAAAGCATGCAGGTGGCCATTGTGATAAATCTGCTTGTGATATGAAAAGGAATTTGAAAGCCTGAGGTGATGCCTATAAACAAGGTTATAATAAGTCATAATTTATGTTTTTAAAACAAGGCTAGCACTAATGCCCAACCTTAATAATTTCATTCATATGTCTGGAATAGTTCTGCCTTTTTTTAAATTACATTTGTTGTTGTTGTTTATGAGAGAAGGTGATGAAAACTATTCCAATGATTTTATTATTTCAGAATTATGCATTTATTATTCATGGACTGATTTGCCTATATAGTGCAATGATTATGTCAGCATACAGTGAGGAAATAAAATCCAGAATTGCACTGGCTTTGGAGTGTCTATTCTTGATCTTTTCTTGGACAATGTCCAAGTTCATCAGCAGCAAAATGTTGGATCAGAAGAAAATTACAGTGATGGCTGCTGAAATACAGTATCTCTATAATGTTACGCAACAGTAAGCAAAATGCCTTAACAAACTCTAAATGCATTTCTGACTCTGCTTTCAAGTGTATATTATAAATACGACTCTCTTTGCAATGTAATTCAAATAGTCGACTTCCTGTTATTCATCAGCCATACTCCATGGCTTATGAATGACAATAAAACATAAGAATTGCATATTGTTTATGTAGGGAGCCAGCCTTACATCACCAATGGGTGGGTGGGACAAAGAAATGAGAAAAAGACAAATTAAGAGAAAAAGTGGGACCGGGGACCATCACTTTATTACTTTGAAGGAGACAGTGAAGGCCCAGAGCTCTGATCATCCACACTATTTATTGATTACAATTACTTTGATCTACAAGGTAGAGGCGGAATGATGGTGGAGTGAATCAGTGAGCAGGAACTGAATCAGTGAGCCAGAACTGGTGTGTCATCCTAAGGATTTATAATAGCGGTGGCTAAGGTGTTTCACAAAATAAGAACATGTGGTTATCTTAGCGTATTATCTATGTGAAGTTGGTGGAAACACAGAACTTACATGGAGCCTACAAGTCTGGCTACGTCACAGTGCTACGAAGGGGTTTCACATCCTTGAGCAAAATGTTTATGGTAACAGAGCCGAGGTCACCCTATACCGGAACATGAGGCATGAAGAGGCCTTCCTCCTCCGAGGCCTCCTGTGGCCTTCCACAGTTTGTTGTTCCTTGTTTATATGTTACTCATAGCCAATTTTTGTAGGAACTCTGTAAGTCTTTTCTCCTTTGCTGCTTTTTCCAACAGTTTATTGGGCATAAGATGAGAAATTTCATCTGATAGTCCTTCAATTTATCTGTACTAAAAAACAAGATACAACGACACCAAATGAAAGCATGAAATATCTATTTGACTATAATAAACTTACCAAGTTATATTGCAGTATATTTCAATATAACAGGGAAACATACCTGAAGAAAACTAAAAATCCAAATATATGTCAGGGTATTTTCATAATGCATGTTTCAATCTCCTCAGTTACTTAATTGATGAAATGATAGCAGATAGCCAAAGAACGAAGTATGTGTATCATTTCTCTAAATTGCTGTAGCATTAATTATTCATTCCGATCATTTGGAATTTATCAGTTATTGCCTTTATCTCTTAGATATAAGTAAATAAATAACAATTGATAAATAAAAAGGTTGAGATCTGATTTTTATCTAGATTGTAACATTCCTGAAAGCAGAAACTTTGTAGGCTAGGAGCACTTCCAATATTTATATATACATCACAAAGTGAACAGTTGGTGATGGAGCTAGAGTGCAGAATAAGAATGAGCGCATAATGACACAAAGTTGATATCTGGTATATGGAAACAAGTAATTGAAAATATAAGAATTCACACTACCAGAATCTAACTCCTTGACCGAAAAATAAATGAAAAACTGTATTTGAAAATTTTAAGTGTTGTTCTTAGGTGTATTAAGATTAGATTAGGGAAATGCTAGAATAAAAATACTTTTGATGTGTGTGTGTATCTATTTATTTATAACATTTTAAATGATATATTTATAGTATGTATTACATTTTAGGTTATATATTTAATCAATATACAATTAAAAATATAAACAACATATAATACAAATATCTCTTACCTACAAGGGATTATAATAAACAGAGTCTATGATAATTATCCATTTCCTTTTATTATCTAGGATGTATCAACTATGGGAGGATAAGAATTATATTTAGGAAAATAGAAGTCATAATGAAAGGTCTCAACAGCAGTCTGTGTCAGGCAAAATTACTAAATGGTCCCCGAATTTTCACTCTGTTGTCCATACTCTGTGTTAGCTATTCCCCTTGAATATGAGCTACTTCTGTGGCTAGGATATGTGCTAGGATATGCATCTCATGATTTGGGTACTTTTCAATGTTCTCTGTGAATTAATGAGAGATTAACATCGGTGACCTAATCGTAACAACCCTAAAAAGAAGATGAAAAGGCAGAGAGGCACATTCCTTCTGGCCTGAAAACTACGCAAACATCCACACTGTAAACTATCTATGGAGGCCATCTGGCAAGGAATGCCAGGCTCTGTAGGAGCTGAAATTGTTTCTTAACTTATAACTAGCAGAAAATGAGAACCTCAATCTTACAGGAGACAGAAATACACTCTGCCAATAACTGAGTGTGTTTTGAAGAGGCCCCTGAGCCTCAGATGAGTTCATAGATTGGTCTGCATCTTGATTACAGCCTCTGAGACCCTCCATGGAGAACTCAGTAAACCTGTGGCACCAGTTCCCACTCATGGAAATGATGAAAGAATAAATTTCTTGCAAGACACTATGTTTGTGATAATTTGTTACACAATAGAAAATGAATACAGAGTTCTTGATAAGTATTTAAAACCTCAGACAAATTGTATAAAATAACTGTTATAGATATGTAGAAAAGGAAAATGTCTCTTGCATTTCCAGTAATAAGCAAAGATAAGAGATAATTAGAGACAGAAGACCCAAGCTGACATTTCATGGGAATGATAAGAAATTTCTACTTATTATCTTCAATTTGTCAGCTTACAAGTAGTAGTAAGAATGACACTTGTGGCACTGAGTTCAGACCAATACTTGAAAGTGTCCTCAGAATAATACATAAAAGGAATAAAAATTGAGGAGAAAGTGGATGAGTGTCTGAAGCTTGGGCAGCAGTTTGTTTTCCTAAGAAGTGACTAGAAAATATTCTGAGTATGTGAAAAAAAAAGCAGAGATTAGAAAAATCTGTCTTAGATTATATGCATTTGAAAAAGAAGGAAAGCAGCGGAAAAAGAAGATAAAGGAGAAGAACTCCAGGAGAAGGGAAAGTAGGAGAACAACAAAAAAAAAAGATTATTTGCTATCAAATATCTAAATTTTATGGCTAGCATAATATTGAATTATTGCAATATGTTATATTTCATATTAACCTTGGGAAGTCATGGATGTTGTAAAAAATTGCTGAGCTCTTAAGAAAAATAATGTATTAGCCTTACACTTCTGTAATTTTTTATAATTTGCAGATAATATATATGACTTCACTTTAACTGTCACGTTCAAACTGAGAGGTCATACATGTAATTTTTACAGTTTTGAAAATTAAAATCTCTGTTTCAGTCATAAATTAGCAAACATATATTTCATTTTCTGGCATTAACTAAAAAAGAATCAAGGAAGAAAATCCATTTTAGTGTGAGTGATAATTACTTCATTTTTAAAGTACTGAGTTTGAGGAAGAAACCACAGCAAGTTATACAATGTATTTTTTCTGGATAAAATTCCATTGGTTTTTAAAATGTCATAGCCTATTACAATTTTAAACATATTCTTTCACATTTACAGTGCAAATGGAGATTTTCAATGAATCACAACTGAAATAATGAACTAGTAAAATCGAGCATTTGACCAGCAATCTTACCTGCACATTATGTTTATAAGAATTCTTTACTGTTTTGGAACGTAAGCTGTGATTGAAACTGATACAATTGAATAATGTTTGAATTACTCATAATTCTTTATTTAATTATTAGAATATATTCTTGAAAGTAAGGCAGTGACAGGCTTTTAGTTGAGGATTATGGAACTGAAGAAAACATTGTATCAGGAATACAATTAGGAAACGTATCTTGTTAGACTGTATTCCTCTTGACCCTGTCTAGATTCTTCTCTTCTGAGACATTATCAACCATAGAAATGAATTTTTCTGTGACACAGTTATAAATCTTGCTACTAGCATGGGGAAATATCTACTGTTTAAAAAAATAAGTCCCAAAAGTAGTGTAATACAGAGCTACATTGATTTTTTAATATCTTACAATATTGAGGGTGATTGGGCTTAGCAGTGTAGTTAATTCTTCTACAGAAATGAGGTCAAAGTAAGGTGTTGACTGCACTGGGCTGAAAGATGCAAGGTAGCTCACCCATAGTTGTGCTGTCTGGGAAGGCTAGGGTGAGCGGGAATCTTGGGATGGCTGGGACTTCGTAAAGTTTCCAGGCCACATCCTCTCCCTGTGACTTTTCCATGTTTTCTATTCAGGGTAGCCAGTCTTGTTACATCAGAGCTAGACACTCAACACTGCAAAACCAGAGATGCCAGGTCTCTTCCAGGCTATGTCCCAGAACTGGAGAACATCACCTCCACCAGTTCCTGGTTCCTAAAACAGTCAAAAACACTTAGCACAATCCCAGGGAAATGCAACTGGGCTCTGGGCCTTCTTGTGAGAGCAGAAAGGTTAAACTTTTACCAAATAAAAGGAATAGCATTAAAAGGAAAGTTTACAGTTTCCTGATCACTATAACAAGTGTGAGGCTCTGGCTTAAAGTTAAATGTTCCACCCAAAAATTTTCTAGAGATGTGGGCTTCCTCATAATTCAGTTTCTTTGAAAATACTGTGTATACCTGCCTTCAAGGTGGGTGGTGAAGTATAACTTCTCAATCTTGGCTGGATTATTTGGGTTATATACCAAGAGCAACTCATGTGGTGAGAAGCCATCAAGGGAACTGGGGAATCAAATATGTTCGTATATATAATTTTATCCTTAAATATGATTTGGATTGGCCTACATAAATGTAGTAGGTCAGTCTGCTATAATGAAATAGCATGGACTGGGTGCCTTAAACAACAGAATTTTATACTGCACAGTTCTAGAGACTAGAATTCCAAGATCAAGGCACCAACACAGTGTCTGGAAACGGCTCTCTCCATTCTTCAGTGCATGTGGGGAGATGAAGCTCCCTGATCTCATGTTATGAGGTCACCAATCCTATTATGTGGAGCCCACCTTAGGAACTCATTTAAATCTAATTACTTCCTAAAAGTCCCATTATTGGTCAATATGTGATCAGTATCATCAAATGGTTAAAATGAATGTACATGTAGATGGTGTAAATGAGGAAATCTAAGGGAGCCTGAGCTGAATATAATAGCATAAAATATAATACCTTGTTTTATATGGCTTATACATTAAAATCATTGTTTCTAAAGGTCAGTTTTAATAAATTGGAAAGAGTTAGTTTTTTCAACAGTGTAGAGAGAAAGAAATTTAATCTCAGGAAATAAAGGTAAATTTTTGTATAATAGCAATCAAATCTATATAACTGAGATTTTATTTCAGACCAGAGAAATAAATCTTGAATAGTTTTTGTCAAACAATGTATTCACACAACTAATTTGGTGGTTTATTTATTTCTATGGTTTATTGTATTTCTCAACTTGGCTAGAACATAGTGGTCAGTTGCTTGGTATATCACTAATTTAGATGTTGGTGTGAAGGTATTTTTTAAAAATATGATTAACATTAAAGTCAGTAGACATTGAGTAAAACAGATGGCCCTCCATAATGTGAGGGAGCCTCATCCATTTCCTTAAAAGCAGTAAGAGAAAAAACTGATGTTTTTAAGTTCAGCCTTCTGACTGCCACATTAAAATAAAAAGAAAAAAAAAAACAACTTTGCTTGAGTTTACAGCCTATTTGTACATTTTGCATGCAAGATTCAACATCAAGTCTTACGTGAATTTCCAGCCTGCCAGCTTGCCCTATGGATTTCAGATATGCCAGCCCTGACACTCACCTGTGCCAATTCCTAAAATACATCTCTCTATATATGGATGTATTTATTCTATTGGTTCTACACAATATTTTTGAGAATTATAACTAATTCAATGATATTTTGCCTTCTTATTAAACAAGGACACCAAAGAAAAATAGAATTTTTATATTTTTTATTTGTACTAAAATGTATTCCTTAGTTAATTCAGTATAAAATAGAGCCATCACAAATTGGTATAAATATTCATTTGTTTGTTGAATTGGTAAATAAA